AATGTGACTAGGTCCGGGTATATTTTAACTAATTTGTACAAAATCTAGTATAAAATCTATAGCAATCTTTAGGGAAGGCCTGTGCCCAGCTGTGGGCGTGTAATGGCTGAACAAGGAAGCTAGCAAGTAAGCTAGTATAAAAATAGATCAATCACCCTGTTAACGATAGTTAAGGTAATTAGATAGAAACTTTCGATCGGTAAAATTAAAAAAAATGGATTAAAAATATCTTAAATTATAAAAAAAATTGAAGGAAGTTGGTTATACGCTCGGTTCTATTATGTCGAAATTAAAATTTCCCAATCTCGCTAACATTATGAATGAAAATTTGAATGTATGAATGATGTTTGTTAGAAGGTGTCTCCAGTACGACTGCATAGATCTCGTTGAAATTTGTGATATATAGAACATCATCATCATCAGCTCACTATACGTCCCCACCGAGGGGCTCGGAACCTACCCTAAGTGAGGGGTGATTTATGCCATAGTCTAATATAGAACATAGTCAGGTCGAATATAGACCCCCCGTGAGAGAGCTGCCTCGGCAGCTGGCGCAGACGGGGCCGCGGACGAGAGTGAAAGCGTGCCCGTGGTCTCGTCCCGATGCGTTGGAGGAACAGAGGGGTTTAGTGGGTATGCCTCCGCTATGGAGGAGAATCCCACATAACTACCGCGTCCCCCCCGGGGCGCGGAGGATGCATAAAGCATTCCCCTCTGAAAAAAAAAAGGTCGAATATAGACAACTTACTCAGTGAGTCTTGAATAAAAGCTGGAATAGAATAAATACAACTGTTATTGCAAAGTTGTCATACTGTCGATTCCCAGACGACGCGGCGCCATATTGCATTTTCAATTCTACATGTACATTAAATATATACATTTTATATTATAATTGGAGTCAAACTGTGTTCTATTTATATCAATACCAGCTATTGCCCGTAACTCTGTCCGCATGGAATTAAAAAAAAATCTTAAACAGTAGCCTGTGTGTAACAGGCTACGTTCTACATCTATGCCGAATTTTAATGAAATCCACGAAGCCGTTCTGGAGATACCTTCTAACAAACATCGCATTCATAATATCATTATGATTACTATCTAAATGTAGTATACATGATATGTAAATTACACTGGAAATATGGTGGTAATATTGTATGTTGAAAACCCATTAAAATTTACCTTGACGTATAACTACATTACTTATGCAGTTATTCATCATTACACCCGATAGTTAACACGAGAATACTTTCTGATTTACACAGCTAATTGTATTTAACTGGAAACGTATTTTTAATCGTCAATAACCTAATGGTTAAGGGTACGGATTTCCGATCACGAGGTCGGGGGTTCGAATCCCGCCATTCGACTATTGTCGTAAACCATATCCTAGCACAAGCCTTGAGCTTAGTTGGAATGGTAAAAGAAATATTAGCAAATTTGCAAAAAATCTGCTAATATTTTTTTTTTAAATAAAAGAACATTTAGTTAATTGTAACAGAGAATAAGAAAAAAATATGTCTCATTAAACGCTTTTTATCTTTTAAACGTTAAACATTTGAAAGTGGATAAGTCAGAGCCTAAAGAACCGCGATATTTTTCTCGCTCATAGAGGTATCTTACTAACCCGAGTTGCTCGCTTATGGAGGTCGTTTGTCGAAACCAAACAATGACTCTCGCTTATAGCAGTTTCTCTCTAACCCGAGTTTCTCACTTATGGAGGTCGTCTGTAGAAATCAGACAATTACTCTTTCTAATAGAAATTTCTCGCTTATCCGTAATAAATCTTTTTCAAAGATAATGTAAGAGAAAGTAAAATGTTAATAACATTAAATCTCAACATTTTTAGTAATGAAAACTTTTCTGAATGAAATATTAAATATCTTTTCTAAAGACTAACTGGTAACTATGTGAAGGTCGCAAGTTCTATCTTTGAGTTAAAAATATCGATTATAAAGCCTACATATTTCTTATGCAACGAAACAACAGCTGTGTTTTAAAGCAGCTTAAAATGGCACACAAAGGGAGATTATGTAGTCATTTCGATACATAGACTTGGTCGTTGTATATTTTTTAATCAATCTGTGAGTTTATACTACTATAATACGTACTCTTTTCTTTTTTTATATATCACAAGGTGGCAAACGAGCGAGCGGCAACCTGAAATCACTGAAATAGCGAAGTGACCGTTGCCCATAGACATACGCAATTGCATATGCATTGCCTACCTTTAATCGACGGAGGAGAGAATACACAGAAAGAAAATATTGTCCCTTTCCATGCATCCTCTCATCCGGAAAGTCCACTTCCACTTCCCATCCTTTCCTTATAAGAAAAAGAGTGGGAAGGAAAGGAAGACTAAATTAGGCCTCCGGGACGTGCACTCATCAGACGAAACGCGGAATTGCTTCCACTTGACGCCTGGCTTCTGTGTGGTCGTGGTATTTTCACCGGGCGAGCTGGGCCAATTCGTGCAAAGATGTTAAAGCGGGCTCTACCGCTGTTATTATATCTATACTACTTCTATTCTACTCTCTCTAAACTAGTTACGTATAAATTATCTACACTAAGTAATCATTTCAGAGAGAGATTCTGAGTATAGCAGTAATATATTTAAGTAATGTGATTGCTATCTACTCTGTAGTCTTTTTTAGGGAAAGGATATTAATTACACCAAAAGATTAAACGCCCCGAGCTCTTCTGAAGAAATACTACTTAATTAACGAAATCTCTGCAACGAATCTTTTTCCCATTAAATTTTATCTCATTTCCTGTAATAATGAATCTATACAATTAACAAAATTTGAGTGTCTGTATGTAATATTGAAAGATATATTCCATAAATACACGAAGTTTTTACGTTAGTTATAACAAAAACATTTAAATGTTTTGTCTGTCTGTCAAGCAGCGTTTGCTTATCATCTATATCGCGAGTAATCTCTGAAAGGGCTGGACCAATTATGATAGGCCTTTGACGGAAATGTAGCTAATACATTCGCGCATATTATAGGATACGTTTTATCTACGCTGACGAAGTCGTGGGCGACCGCTAGTTTAAAATAAAAAGCTAACTGTATTCATAAAACGTACGCATTCACAAAATAACACATATTTCGTCAGTATCAACGTTTTTAGCGACATTTGTTTGAGTCGTAAATCCGCAAAGCTTTTAAGTCTCCAACATGACAGAGTACAACCGACACTCATGTTAGAACTAAGTAATGTAACTTGACCTACTTAACTCGTGAACTTTGTCAACTTCTTTGTAAGCGTTTGCGACAAACAAACTATTCCTGTAGCCATATTTTTTAAACATGCAATAACAAACTTAGCGGAGTTGAGATTCAATTGTTTATACATCGCTGGAATATTCGTGCAAAAGTTTTTTTTGGCGTCTTTTTTTAATATTGGCGTTGATAATATGTTTTTCTACATGCCTTTTGGCAGTGGGAACCGATGCTAGAAGTATGTATATTAACTAATAAAAAAACTGTAATAAAAGCAGTTTAAGACAACAAAAAATGGCTTTAATTTGCACTGCTGTTGTTGCGAAACGAAATGTTGCTACCTCTTTTCTTTCGAAGACAATGATAGGGATAACGATATGTTCTATACCAATATTTCGGTACTGGAAATATATGGGGGACTAACATGAATATTTGGGACAAGCGCCTTCGTAAATTTCATATCAAATTAGTATGAGTTTTCTGGTCCACTTTAAGCCCTAATGGGGCAAATATTAAAACATTTTGTCGATGACGACGCGATGGTACTCGACACAAAAATCCTTGATAGGACAACTTTTATGAAACTCCGAATTTACGTAATACGTACGGAAATTTGAAATCCATCGTATTGTCATCTCTCAATTACCGGAGCGTTTGAAATTTCGTTTATTACCTTAGCAATCTTTCCCTTCATCATACCTGATAATTGAACGTTAACACTTAATTGAGTTCATTAAAAAGTTAATTACATTTCGCTTTCTAATTACAAAATTTTAGAAGTCTTCACGGTAGACAGGTGATGAAGTTAATTTTCTATGGGTTCTAGTTTCAAATTAAAATCGAAATTATAAACACAACTACCTGTAGCTCGCAACTCCGTCCGCGCGGAATTAACTAACTACGTTGAAGACTACGTTCTACATCTATGTCAAATTCAACAACATCCGTTAAGCCGTTTTGGAGATACATACCTTCTAATAAACATCGCATTTATAATATTAGTAAGATCAGATTAAAAAACTAATAATAAATTATTACTAAATTGAATAAAATTACTATTAAATATATGATTTTACATATTATATTATATATTAAACTAATAATAAATATATTAGTAAGATATTTTTGTCACATCATGACACAAAGAGGGCAAGAGTCATGTCGTGTGACACATTTAATTTGACACAAAATTGATATTCAAAAGGATCTATTTCTTTTAGATCTCAATATATTACTGTAATATTCATAATCAAATACACGGGTTTGTACGTGTCAAACTCAACCAAAACAATTGTTTTTTTTTCCATATACAAAACCAATTTCGTAATGTATACGCTACGGTAAGCAAGACCGTGTTCATAGCTAGTGGAAATATATTCAATATATTGCAATTCAGTTGCCCGATTGAACAGTGAAGTTTGTTATCTTGAGAGCACACCGTTTGCGTCCCGAGGGAAATATGGGAATATAGGAAACTAGATTTATCCAATAACCAGCATCAAATCCAATAAAGTAATGTCGCGATCGTCCGATTATTACTTACATTCCAACTATCATACTTGTAATGATACATAATGTTTGTCTATGTTTTGTCAAACAAAATGAATTACTTATTTTATTTCTCTATTTATTTTAAGTATTTTTTATAGCAGCATCTAAATAGCAGCAATATTGTAACAGAATATTTGTTGGGAATCGTTTTATTACATTTTTGCTTGACCAAAATATAAAGGTCATTAATCTTGAAGCGTTAAGTTTTTGTCCTTTTCGTTACAGAAACCGCATTGAACGAACGGCGTCAAAAAGATGGCGGGGCTCCGTACGAAGGCTTGTCGCCGCTTCTGTTTGTATGTATTTATAATATATTAATTAATATCTAAAAATATCTGTAGATATCTTACTTCTGTGAAAATTCTACGCAGACAACGTCGCAGGTAAAAGCTGTTGTTATTACATAAATATTTCTATGGTAACCGTAGGCATCTGCGTAGAAGTAAGTGTAGACATAGGTGTAGGTGTAGACGTAGGCGTAGCCGAAGACGTAGGCGTAGCTTTAGTAGTAGTAGTGGGCGCGAACGTAGGTGCATACGCAGTCGCGATCGTAGGCGTAGAGGTGAGCGTAGACCACAGGCAACGATACATTCTTTGCCAAGAAGATTATGAACAATTTATATTATACTGATACAACGCCATTTAAGTGTTTTAAATCCAATAGAGAGCTAAACACAATTTACTGAGTTTGACATAAATGTCATATGCCAGTTTTTTTTTTGTGTTCGTGTTCCAGATAATCTGTCATGCTTCACGCATGGCTGCAGCACTGGCTGGGTGTCTGGTGTGCTAGGCAGTGAAGCGCTCGCTGGCGGCGCCTGGCTGGCCGCTCTCCCGTGTCTTGTGGCATTACCCGCGGCGCCGTTTTTCGCGGTACTAGCTGATAGCAGAGGACGTAAAGCTGGCGCTTTCTGTATTAGCCTCAGTTTTATTGTGAGTGGATATTTTTAACCAATTAAAAAATAGAGGGGTTCTCAAAAACCCATTAAGTTGAACTATCTCCTTATTTTTAAGTATAATTTCAAGAGTAATTTCTAAAATAAATCACTAAAACTATCTTCTAGATCAGCTGGTCACTAGCGGCGTGGTGCGGTCCGCGCGGCGTGTGGACGGCACGAGTCGCAGCGGGGGCTGGCGGCGCGGGCGCCATGGCACTGGCCCCGCTCTACTGCGCAGAGATAGCGCCGCGAGCACGGGGCCTAGCAGCCATGCCCGCACTGGCTTGCAGGTATACACGTCCCTGTACGACTGGAGACAACCCCCATGTTGGCGGTGACTAGGCCTTAGTCAGCCACACTAGTCCTTTTTAAAAGAAACAATTCTATGTTTATGTTTTGGTCCTCAGAGTAAGTATTCTTAAGAGATTTATTTTGTACAGTTGCGGTATACTATTCGCGTACTGTGCGGGGGTGCTCCTATCACCTCATGCGCTTTCCCTGTCCATGGCGGTCGCTCCTGCCGTGCTACTACTGTCTCTACTCTGGCTACCTGAAACTCCTTTGTACTTGATCAACGCTGGGAAAATACAGGTAAGAACTACGACAATTTACTTTCAAATCGAAGACACAATAATTCTTAGTCGCGATATTAATATAAATATTCCCCTACTGAGTGTTAAAGTTTTAATAAGCATGTTTTAATATGAATTGTAATTCTCTAGGAAGCAGCAAAAGTAATGTGCTGGTTCGATGGCTCCGACTTTCGCGAGGATCTGACCGACGTGATCGAGCAGCAGGAGGTCAGGATCCGCACATCGGAGTGCGTCGGCAGAAGGCAGCATCTACGCCGGCACGACTCTGACACCTTCCAACCAATGCTGAAGAGAAGCAGCGGCTTGGATTCCAACTGCGATAGGAAGGAACAGATGTCACCTTGCAGAGAGCTATGTACGTTAATTCTAGAAATCATTATTTTTTGTATCGCTTGACCTTAAAGGCTTGACTTACTAACAGTTATTGACTAATTAACAATGCGCTGCAGTTAATATGAGATATCAGCACTTAGGGGCAGTTTCAGTAACTATTGAGCGACTCTGAGTAAGGCAGCTAGAAGTGAATCATACTGATGGCCTCTTGTCCTACGTTTATGAGTTGGTCCTTCGAGTAGGATTTCTCAGACTTTTAAAATATTTCTCGTGTTCTCTTCAGTGACACGTCGTCGTTCTCAGCGCGCGCTGGCTTCATGTTGCGTGTTGGTGTGCCTGGCAGCGGGCAGCGGCGCGGGCGCAGTCAGCAGCTTTGCGGCCGCGCTGCTGCGACACTCCGCGCACAAACTGCCCTCACTCAACCTCACCGCTTACAACTTTACCATTTATAACGGGTAGGCCATTAAATTTGGTAAATATGAAAGAGAGTCCGCTTGTGAAAGTAGTGAGAAGATTTTGCTGTCTAAAAAGGTTCAAGATCAATTCAAGATCGTTTACCCCTCATCATCATCTTCAGCTCACTTCCCACGGAGGGTCGGAGCCTACCCCACACCGAATAGAACATTTTAATGACTACTTCCCCTGATAAAATACTGAATGATATTATTCTGCTGGGCTCCTAAAGCTGACTAGCGTGATATTGAATTTTTATAAAATATTTTTGGCTTCTATTTGGAAATGCTAATTTGGAGAATGTTGTCAGGAGTCTACCACGTGGTGCATGGGGCGCGTGGGACGCGGGCTGCGTGCTGTGCGGGCTGGCGCTCGTGCTGGGCGCCGCGCTCGCTACACTCACCGTTGACAAGCTCGGCAGAAAGGTAACAGATTTATAATTTATTTGAAAATTAATTGTAAATTGAAATTTTCACAGGCAATTTAAAAAAATAATATTCACTCTTCTCTTGTACTCAGTTGTTGGTTATCTGTACATAAGGCTTGTATTAAAATATGACGTGAAAATGTTTATTCAATCATTTTCTTTAAAATGTAATCAATTAAGATGTAAATGTAATATATTTCAGACTCTTCTACTCTGGTCATGTTCAGGCATCGCTTGTTGTCTCGCCATCCTCGGCGTATACTGCGACCCTCACTTACGTATGCACTCCTGGTACCAACAACCGCTCTACAAGAAGATCATCAAGGAAAAAATGAGAGAAATTGAACATGATAGAGAAAGCTATAGAGATATATACAATGAAAGTATAACTAATATCAGTGGTGATCCGATAGGTTTGTTCAGGATTAGTTTGGAAAATGTAACTCCTACCAGCTGGTCGGTGAAGTATGAACAAAGTGCAGGAGAAAATGAAGACATCTGGGCGCCTATTACTCTGTTGTCAATAGTCTTATTCCTTTACAACATCGGACTTGGTTCTGTTCCATATGTGCTGATATCAGAGCTCTTTTCGGTTCATGTAAGTATACTTTAAAAAATTTAAGCGTTAATGCCCAGACTTTTATGGTTTCTTAGTAGTCCACTATCAAAAAACCTACACTAAAGATCACTCTAAGGTTCGCGTTCAATGGCACGCGCTGGACACACCGCACTCACGGATTAAACGGATTTACTTTGTCTTTCGATGCGGACGGCTCGGATGAGGGACGAGTATGTAAAATCATACAAAGTAAACTAAAATCCGTGCGTGCGGTGCGTCCGGTGCGTGCTTTTAGACGCGTACCTTTAGCAGACAAGTTAACAATGGATCTAGAATTGTTTATTTAAGATTGCAGATGTTTCTTAGTAAATATTTTATTCCGATAAATCTGTTTTTCATTTTCAGGTCCGCAGTTTGGCTTCAAGCTTCCTCATAAGTTGCACTTGGCTTAGTAATTTCTTACTATTACGGTACTTCGGATCACTAGCGTCTTACTTGGGATTACACGCAGTATACTACTTGTGTGCCAGCAGTACTCTGCTGGGTACAGCAGGCTTGTACGTATTACTGCCGGAGACAAAGGGCAAGTCTCAAGGTCAAATCGAAGAAGAACTGAACCAGCCACTCCTCAACTGGAGGAAGAGGAAGCAAAGAAACCCTCGATGACAGAGCGCTAATCAGTTATATGCAGATTTGGAGAAGTTTTAGCGATTTTAAAGCGGAAGTATTTGGAGACTATGATAGATCGATGTCATAAAGATCATTGAAAAGTACAAAATTTATTTTTGAATTACAAAATACGAGAGGAAAGAATTATTTTTCTATGAGGAAAGTATCTATTTTCAAAATTCAACTGAGAGTCAATTTAATAATAGAAATAGGTTATAATTATCTACAGCATTGTATTTATTTACAATATGAATAAAAAATACGAAAATGGGCATTTCGTGTACCGAAATTTGAGACAAAACAACTAAAACAAAGTATTAAAAATTTAACATTTGGAAGCTTTTCTAATATTTTGAAAAAATCAACAGTTGGTTATTAAAGTACTGGTAAAAAGTATTTTAGAGTTACTATTAAACGTACAGTCTAAAGGCAAAGGTAAATTTAGCCAAAGTTAAACGTAAGATGAGATAAAACGTGTGAGAAAATTATAGTTAAGGTCGATACACCTTTTATTTTGAACTACAGTTTTTACTGAACAGTCAAACTGTACAGTTATAACTGTATAGTTAAACTAACGTTTATAAAGATGTAAAATGGTAGATAACAAAATATTTCTGTATACATAAATAACCTATAGATACTAAATCCGGAGCATAAAATTGAGGCAAAAATGCCCCCGGAGGCCTTTGTACAACTTAACCTGCCTGTAACCCAGATGTGTAGACAGAGACCATCTTTTAGTGTGGCCAAAGAAGCTCCGCAATCTACTTTTTGCGTCGCCTCCATTTTCTCTTTTCTTTTATCTTTGAAATTAATTTGCTTCTATGTTCAAGTTGCATCACGTTGTTTTCCTTCATTGCAAGAACGTCGGAAAGCCTTTTGTTGCTGTTAATTCCCTCGGTGTTTAAAATTGTATAAAATACTCCATCTCGGTTATATATCCATTATTGGATAGCTAAATGTTCAAATTTATAAATGTAGATATATTTTTATAGATAATATAGTTATTGTAATTACCCATAGTTATCTACTTGAAACTAGTGACGTATTTAATTAGGATACAAGATTTCTAATATATTTACCTGTAGAAACATATATTAGTTACTAAGTTGTAGACAGACAAAGTTATCTGACCAATGGAGCTACAAAGTGCATTCGCTTCGAAGCGATTCCATAGCGAACTTCAAAAATGTATAGAACTGACAATAACTTTCGATAAGTCTTGTGATTGACGAGCGACAGTTCCATACATTTTTGAAGTTCGTTATGGAATCGATTCGAAACGAATACACTCCTAGTCCCGCATATGAGCGGAAGTGAAACTAAGTTAGGAGAGCTCAGTAGCGCCCCTCAATCAATGTCAAAACAGTACAACCTTAAGTAGTTTATATAAGTATTTTGTATAGTAAATTCACTATTCGTGAACGATAACATAACACCTAAATCTGATAATGTCACAGCCACGAGCTAGTATATATATTATGCTCGATTAGAAATAGCTTACAATCGGAAATAAGGGAAAGTTCGCAATTCAAATGATTGTGTTATCGTGCATGGGTTGTAATATATGTACAGAGTAAAAATTAATTATTTTGTTGTCAATTGATATTAAATATATTTCAAAATATTATAAATGTGCTAAAAAATCTGTAAATAAAAAGTGTTATCATTATAAATGTTCATATTGTGGCAAAAAAGTTAATAATAGCTAAATAAAGCTGAAATTCATTAGCACAGATATTGAACCAAAGGGTCTATCACGAATATTTGCGATATGCGGCTTCGTAACGTCATCGAAAAAGTATATCACATCTTGTATAAGATTTACGAACTTGTCGATAACGTTACGAGTAATTTCTCGCAAATATTCGTGCAAGGCACTATGACTGTGGTTTTCTGAGTCCAAAATCTCTATTTAAAAGATATAGTTGTCTCTGTATTGTCAAAGATTATGACAGGGATGAAGATATGTTTTATACAAAGATTTTGATATCAGAAATCAAGGTGAATAAGTAAAAATTAGTCAAACTACTACAAAGGGAGAGCAAATAATTGAGAGGTAATTTAGAATTCTTTTTATTTTTAGTACTAAAATCGCAACAGTTCATAAAGTGCGTTTTAAGAGTCTTTAAGAAAATATAACCATCTCTCTCACTCTCGTTGAATGAAAGAGACAACAATATATTTTTAATTAATTCTTTCTCATTGAGAAAATGCTCACTGATATATTTTGTACGATATTAATGATAAATGTAATATTTTTGTATTGCCACCAAAACAGAAGAAATGTAGCAAAAACCCGTTCGTATTTAGTGTACATTTCCACTGAGCAACAAGCCGTGCGACTCTAATCACTTTCCACTGTCGCATGGCAGTCGCAATAACATCAGTGGATATGGACATTTAGTCCCGTCTTAAAGAAAATCATAGATTAGACCAATATTACATATTTTGTATGTTCGTACGTATTTTTAAAAACCATAAATGTATAAATGTAACCCCATTGTAATAAAAATATATGTGGTATGTAATCATGGTTTTTAATTTAATTTATGTTCCGGAGATACGTTCAAACAAGTTTATCCATCCATCCATTAATTTAAACTTTTGCATTTGAACATGTATATTAATTTGTATATCTACATATAGTCTTACGTAAATATCACATTAACCGTGAGTTTCTGAGACTGAAATCTCAGTTCAAAATATATTGTTATCTTGTTTATACAGAGATTTTCTTTTCAGAAACTCACGGTAAATCATACACTTACAAAAGCAACAAATAATATTTTATATTAATAATCAACCAACATATTTGTTATTCGAATGTCTTTATATAAAATCTTCAATGGAAATGAGAAATTATGAAAAAAAACTATAATACAATAAATCCATAGACATTGTCATCCAGCAAAATATGTGAATATAATTTTCAATTCCCATTTAATTTTTTTGTTAATTTTTAACATTTCTTCTCTCTTTCTAAACGTTTATATTACCCCCTTAAAATAAAAAAAACAAAAAGAAATTGAATTGTTATGGAGACAAAATTAATAAAAATAAAAGTCGATATTTCCATCAAAATATATAAATTAAAACATTGTACATATTAAAAAGTAATAAATTGTTTTAAAAATAAAAATAAATTTTCGAGTATTTCTCTTACCAATACAACATTAGAAAAATTAACAGCGGATTTCTGATACCAAGCACTCCATATAAAACAGATAAAATGTTTGCGAGAATTTTGGTGTCAGAAACCCACTGTAAATCACACAGGATATTTTAGATCATTCAAATCACAGCCTAACATTACCTTTCACAATATCGTCATATAATTTTTCCGTCAAAGCAACATAACCAGTCTTTTCAAGGAAATATATCGGATCACTATGTAAGCTAGGATTAAAACCTTGTTTAATTAATTCTTTCTTTTTTAATTTAAATGTCGCAGTCAGAGGGGGCTCAGGTAATATCCTAAGGAATACAGGTCTAGAATATATAGGTAAAGATGTAGTTATACCTCTATAAAGTTCTGAAATATCTAGTTTTTTATCTGGGTCTGCGATAGCAGCCATCCCAGCCTTACCTTCTACGTTTGGTATCTGGAAATGTAAGGCATTTAAATTAAAATATTTGTCATAAACGCTATAACCGGTATTTTTTAATTTATTCTTAGACTAGTGATCACCCGCGACTTCGTCAGCACAGAATTTTAAAAAGTAGCCTATAACATGCCCGTGTTCATTAGCTACTTTTCCGTCAAAGTCCCGTCAAAATCAGTCCAACCGTTCCGGAGATTATCCGGAACAAACGCAGCCTTACGGACAAACATACGGACAAAAATTTTAACAATTGCATTTTCGTTATTAGCAACGCAAATATATATCACATGTACGAAATATGATTTTGTATTACAATTACATTTTGATATTACAAACAGACACACCGATTGTATAAATATGTATAGATAAATAGAAAACTGTGGATTTCCATCATATAGCGTCCATTAAATTAATTTTTCGAATTTTTTAGGGTATGTTTTTTGACTAAAGTCCTAATTAATCATAGTGTTAAGAACATCCATTAAGAAAACACACAACACAACTAAAAACTACAAAAAAGTATTAATATTATAAATATTCATACTTACAGTAACACCATACACCACTGCATCCTTCAATCCTACCAAATTACTGATGACACCTTCCACTTCAGCTGTGGATACATTTTCACCTCGCCATCTAAATAATGTTATCATAAATCCATAGACAAAATAAAAAGTTCAAAATTTAACAACACATAAAGTTAGAATTTTTGACCCTCTCATTTCGTAACAATTTGAAACACATTAAGTGTTGGTTTCTGAGATAAAAATTTCTGAAAACATAATCATCCTTGTCATTATCTTTGATAAAATAAAACAACACGTTTTAAACAACGATTTAGGTCTCAGAAACCCACAGTAAATATTCGTATTAAGATGAATATTAATGGGATTTGAATATTGACGCTTTTGTTTACAAAAAAAAGAATCCTTTGAAACAATCGATTAAGAAATATCTTTACCTGAACGTATCTCCTGTTCGATCCTTGAAGTAGAAGTATCCATAGTGATCCATAACAAGGATATCACCCGTGTTGAAATAACAATCATTCTCCACCTTCACGTGACGCACCATCTTCTTTTCTGATGCGGTTTTGTCAGCGTATCCCGAGAATGTTAGGATCGCTTTCTTCGGATCAATTTTACCAAGAAGCAACCCTATTAAATTATTCAAACTTTCGTGAGACATTGCAATAAACTTATATAAAAACGACTAAACACTAAGGTATATTCGTCTGGTGGCGACACCGACTAGTTTCGAGCCCATCGCTCGGGCCGCGTCCGCGAAGTGATACCAGTCCCACTCACACTGATTAAGGGCCCCCGATGGGCTCGAAACTAGTCGGTGCCGCCACCGGACAAATATACATCGGTGTTTAGCCGTTTTTATACAAGTTTACAAGCAATCTCACAATACCTAAATGATGTTTTGAGTTATGTCATAAATTAGTTGATATCACCACACTACAGCATGGAGATATTAACGAAGTTTTTATAGCAAAAGGTGACAAACACCTAGTGA